GGCATCCGTCCGTCACAATGTGACGTTGGTGTAGACTGGCATCCGTCCGTCACAATGTGACGATGGTGTAGACTGGCATCCGTCCGTCACAATGTGACGATGGTGTAGACTGGCATCCGTCCGTCACAATGTGACGTTGGTGTAGACTGGCATCCGTCCGTCACAATGTGACGATGGTGTAGACTGGCATCCGTCCGTCACAATGTGACGATGGTGTAGACTGGCATCCGTCCGTCACAATGTGACGTTGGTGTAGACTGGCATCCGTCCGTCACAATGTGACGATGGTGTAGACTGGCATCCGTCCGTCACAATGTGACGATGGTGTAGACTGGCATCCGTCCGTCACAATGTGACGTTGGTGTAGACTGGCATCCGTCCGTCACAATGTGACGTTGGTGTAGACTGGCATCCGTCCGTCACAATGTGACGTTGGTGTAGACTGGCATCCGTCCGTCACAATGTGACGTTGGTGCAGACTGGCATCCGTCCGTCACAATGTGACGTTGGTGCAGACTGGCATCCGTCCGTCAAAATGTGACGTTGGTGTAGACTGGCATCCGTCCGTCACAATGTGACGTTGGTGTAGACTGGCATCCGTCCGTCACAATGTCACGATGGTGTAGACTGACATCCGTCTGTCACAATGTGACGTTGGTGTAGACTTCGCAGGTCGAAGTCACAAGGCCTGTGATTTTTGTTCCTTCTTTAGTATAAGCTGGTTTCCGAGACAGCAAATCGCCTCTCTCCACGCACCTGGATGACGCAAGGGAACACCATATTTGGATGATACAGCTTGGCACCAGTAGCGTCGCAGGAGTTGTCGGGAAATTTCATTGTATGTATCTTAAATTTGATTTTTTTCTCTACACAGGGTCACTACACATTGGTGTCTCAGTGTGAGCCAACATTGGTGTCTCGGTGTATGCCAACATTGGTGTCTCGTGTGAGCCAACATTGGTGTCTCGGTGTGAGCCAACATTGGTGTCTCGGTGTGAGCCAACATTGGTGTCTCAGTTTACGCCAACATTGGTGTCTCAGTTTACGCCAGCATTGGTGTCTCAGTTTACGCCAACATTGGTGTCTCACTTTACGCCAACATTGGTGTCTCGTTTACGCAACTTTAAAATGTCTACTCATACCACATCCTCTTTTCAAAGAGTTAAACAACAAACGTTTTGACGAAGTCATCCCTCATAATTGGTTTCCTTGTTTCATAAACGCGCTGAGTCCGGAAACTGTTCAACTGTTAGTGAATCAATGCAAAATTTCCCTGTCGTGCTTTTTATGTTTAAACATTAATTAATTGTATATTGCTGTGCTACTGCAAGGCCGGTGGAGACAGATGGCAGGGTTTTCTCCCACAATCCCTAGATCAGGGGTTCTTATGCATGGGTGCCCGCATACCCTGATGGTCCAGGAGGCAGTGTCAAAGGCGTGTTGGAAGATCAAGAAAATTATGTTTATTTGCATTTTTTTAATCGTTGCGGTGTTGGTAATATGCTTTAAAATCGAGGTGGCGGTGCGGGAACCCTTTTGAAATCTAAAGCTGGTACGGCGCTGCGAGTGGGTTAAGAGCCACTGGCTTAGATTCATTTTTCTCTTATCACTGCTTAACCCACGGTCCCACTTTTGGTATTTCTATTATGATAAAACAATACCACGTATTTCTTGACAAACATGTTCAATTTCAAAACACCACTCATGCTTGTCCATGGCTTTTTTTTTTTAACACGCTAAACATGAGAGACCCCAAAAAACTGTTTTGTCAAACAAACTAAAGTCTAACGAGAAATCCCAGGTTCTCAGCGGACAGCAGTCAGTTCCGCGAGATGTTTAACTGATTATGTCAAAGAAAGAGAGGCCAAGCACCGGACCACTGGTGTCTCTAAAGAAATCGAATGTGTTATATTTACTTCAGAGCTCCACAACTGGTTTGCCACGGCACACTGATGTGCCAACCAACTGGTGCAAGGTGTGTGTCCCACAAGATGGTGCAAGGTGTGTGCCCCAAAAGATAATGCAAGATGTGTGCCCCACAAGATGGTGCAAGGTGTGTACCCCACAAAATGGTGCAAGGTTTGTGCCCCACAAGATGGTGCAAGGTGTGTGCCCCACAAGATGGTGCAAGGTGTGTGCCCCACAAGATGGTGCAACGTGTGTGCCCCACACAATGGTGCAAGGTGTTTGCCCCACAAAATATGGTGCAAGGTGTGTGCCCCACAAGATGGTGCAAGGTGTGTGCCCCACAAGATGGTGCAAGGTGTATGCCCCACAAGATGGTGCAAGGTGTGTGCCCCACAAAATGGTGCAAGGTGTGTGCCCCACAAGATGGTGCAAGGTGTGTGCCCCACAAGATGGGGCAAGGTGTGTGCCCCACAAGATGGTGCAAGGTGTGTGCCCCACAAGATGGTGCAAGGTGTGTGCCCCACAAGATGGTGCAAACGGCCCGTTTGTATGTCCAATCGTATGGTCCCAAGCGGGGCCGTCTTGATAGCAGCGAAGACCCTGGGCACGGTAAAGCACTGAGGCCCCTTACCCTCTATATACTCAGGGCCGTGAGCAGATACTTTTGAATATTCATTCCTGGGCCCAGCTCTGACTAAGTTTTGCATCCTTCTACACTTATCCGACTAGCGACAGAAAAGAAGGTAGTTGAAATTCAGGTTCCCTTAACAATCCAAGGGTTACACAGTTCCTTTTATTTTTAGTTGTATCTAAATAGTAATTTTGCTACATAATTTTATTTGAAACTATTTATTTGTTTAAACTAATTCATCAATGAATGAATATAAATAAAAATTTCCGCTCAAAACAGTTGTTATTTTTTGTTTAAATGACAAACAACCTATTAGTATTTCATTAAATTAATTATCATTTTGAATTTAATTGAAAACTTAAGTTGGTTTTACCAAAATTTACAGTTACAAAAAAATAAGGAACACACAATAGGGCTAAAGATTTTGTATGGGTATTGAAAACATGTAGATGTAAAAATTAAATTTATCTAAATAGTAATAGTATAAAAAGACTCATATATTTATTATTATATGATTTATATGACAGAAAATAAGACAGCATGAATTTCCATACAAATGCATTAACTTAAAAAGTCTTTTTGTAATTTCTAACTAGTATATATTATACTAAATTATAAGAGTCTTCGTTGGGATTAATTGTAATAACAAGCTGATGATTGGATTTCTGAGAAATTAATTTGCGAGAAAGCCAAGTTCCTCCCTGATTTATTTAGTGAGGCATGCATGAATCTAGTCCTCTAAAGGAGTACCTTGTAATTTAAAAGCCAGTAGGGGGTGGTTTGAGAACTTTAAGACAAGGATTAATTTGCGAGAAAGCCAAGTTCCTCCCTGATTTATTTAGTGAGGCATGCATGAATCTAGTCCTCTAAAGGAGTACCTTGTAATTTAAAAGCCAGTAGGGGGTGGTTTGAGAACTTTAAGACAAGGACTGGGATATGCAGGGTTTGTTGGATACAGGAACAGATTACTCCAGTTTCTATTACGGAATTATTGAGTAAAAGCGAGAACATTTTCTTGGAACTCGAAAGATTTGGATTTCACACAGGGTTCTGGAATGGATTAAGTTCAGATCCAGATGTCCCTCTGTATCCCAAATTTCTGTGGAGATCGGCCTGATTCAGCAACAGGGTAGCCTCAAGTTGTGAGTCTTTGCACCCTTTGAACTTGTATGACTTGAAACTAGGGCACATGACATGGTCAAACTTTTTGAATCCATCAATGAGTTTTTATTTCGACTGTTAATTTTTGTAAGTTTTGTTATGACTGTTAATGTAACTTGTATGTTTTTCCTTTACACACAATTTGATTGCTAATGCATTTCATTTAAAAACAAATTTCATTTGGGTGTCATTATCCAGGATTTTGAGAGCCTCAATTCCTACAATAGAGTAATTTTATAGAAGACAAAAAAAACAAAAAAAATTTCCTTAATAAACAACAGACATTTATTTATAACCACTTCATGAACAGCAGCATTTATAGTTCTTTTAAAAACTGTCTATTTGATTACTGTATAGCAATGTCTATAATGAACAATGACTGCCTGTTAGAAGATGTCTGATGGTGATCATAATCAAGACATTTTAAAGTTTTCTAACCAGACGCGGATATTTTTTTCTCAGTATAAAAGCGTGTGTTTAAAAAGGTCCTAAAATAGAAACTCGAGTCTGTTAAAAAAACAAAAAACAATGACAAGATGCCGGTGTTTAGTTCTTCAATTTTTAAAAAAAACAGCTTAAGTATTAGTCTTCTCCTTATAAATATTCACTTGAATTAAATAATGTAAGAAATTTTAGCACTTTTCACATTTAAATCAAAACTACAATTTGATTGTAATTTTTTTTATGAGATGCAGGCTCAGTTTTAAAGGCATCCTGTGTTCATATTTCAATAACTTTGCAGTGCTGAAACAAGAAGCTGTTACAGAAACTATTTTAAATGCAATTAAACTTCACATTTTCCCTCATTCAATAAGTCTAAACATTCATTCCTCCAGACTTCTCCTGGCCATCTCCAATGCACCTTCATAAGTTTTGTTGCCCCCGATGAATCCAGATGTATGCACAAAAATACAGCCATCAATGCCACTTTTCTTTGACAGTTCATCATCTCGCAGACCTCTCCATTCTTCTTTGAGAGACAATCTGCAACAGAAAATTGTTTAAAATAATGTACAAATGACTTGAAAAAAAAAACTGAATAAAATTTTTTTTAAAAATTTACTTTTAAGGCTCAAATTAAAAATTTTGACTTACTTACAAATGTTTTAAAAAAGCAGCACTATCTTGGTAAAAGTTATGACTTATTTATATTACAACATTTATGTTTNAATAAAATTTTTTTTAAATTTACTTTTAAGGCTCAAATTAAAAATTTTGGCTTACTTACAAATGTTTTAAAAAAGCAGCACTATCTTGGTAAAAGTTATGACTTATTTATATTACAACATTTATGTTTTCACAAAAAAGCTGGATGCAGCAAGCAAGTTAACTATTTTATTCTTTTAAAAAAAATAATTATCGAGTTAAAGATTATTTTGTTAAAATTAATCTTTTCATTCATTTAACTATTAACTGTAATTTGTAGCAGGGATCAATTCAGTTTCTTTTACTACCGGTACCAAAGATTGCCAAGACAGGAGCGATGTAAAAAAAAATATTAGATTTATCTCACTAAATTAGACTAACTACCTGTTTTCAAAAGAGCCCAGGCTTAATGGAACACATTGGACTCTCCAGCTATTGTTCTGGTCAGTGTACAACACATAAAGTATATTGGGGGAGATGTTTTCCTCTTGTTCCAATGTAAAGAGATGGTCCTTCCATGGGGCACCACCTTCCTCAAGGCAAATTATTCGGCCACTGGGATCAGCCTGTGTATAAAAAAAAAACTATAGGAATTTTTTTAATGTATTCAGCATAAATAATTCTTCCCTAAACAAACTTTTCACTTTTACTTTAACAATGGTTGATTTAAAAAACAAATGTTTTGTTAGGGCTTTCTCTCAAAGTTGCTGCTTAAGTAATAAAAGAGACGATGACCCCCATTCTCATAACGTTATTAATCTGCTTTATATAATTAAATTAAAATGTTGGCATCACTAGCTTTGGTATTGTTCTCTTTGCATACTGTTACATCAGTCTTTTGTTATGTATTATTTCTTCTAGGAGCAAACTATTAACAAAGATTAACTTTTTAAAACGTTACATAACACATGGTACTCCATAAATTCACACCACCTCACAACACCTTCTTAACTTAATTATATCTTAACAAATGAGTTGTTTTCATCTATTCAAAACATTGTTATTTTCATTTTCAATGCAGGTATATTTCTCTGCCCAGCTGTTACTATTTTCAAACTCAACCAACAGTCATCCTCGCAGGTGCAAAAAAAATTTATTTGGCAAGGGACCCTTTCACAACCTTCAGTACCAACCAAGACATTATCGTTTGCCAAATGTAAGCCCAACTACTAAACACATGATATCCTGCCTCATTTATATCTCGATAAATTCATCTGTGATTCTCAGCAATGGTAATAAACATGTGTTTTACTCTCAGCATAGTGAAACCCTAGAATGACATCATGTGGTGGATTCCTCTACCTTGAGTCGGAGCTGCTTTCAAAGTATGACTCCTCGGAACAGGAAAAAGAGCTGTTATCACTATGGGGTACAGCCAGTTGCTTGGTTTTTCCAAAAATTTGTTGACAGGGCTTACCTTGTGTCTGTTTTTAACTGCTTGTGCCACAATTATTCGAGCAGGCAGCCAAGCTGACTGGTAGAAGGATATTTTTTCAGAGAATTCCTCCCCAACCAACTTCATCGCTTTCTCAAACTGCAGCTAAACGTAACAGACAAAATATAACAGAGTTGAATTATTCAAAGGATATTGTATGCATGTAAAAATCATTGATTCTTGTTATATGATTTGCACAAACAAACAAAAATTGTGTGCAGGATCCTAGGGTATTGACTTATGTCTGGTGAGATATTGAAAAAAATAAAACAGTTTAAAAAATCAGTGTAAATATATTTCACAATTTTTTTGTTTATGTTAATAACTTTTCTCCCAACTTCATTAAAGAAATTTGTATAATTTTGTATTCATGCAATTATTATATAGCTCTGCCCTAAAAGATGACTTTGGATTAAGAAAATCATATTTCCATTACCAAAAACCAGATTATACATTATTTAACAATATTGATTATGCCTGTAGCTTTCAACTATAAACTTATGTTCATAAAGTCTGAAAAGGGCTAGCAGACCTGTTTACCCTCAAACTCTTCAAATCGTACAATATCATCACAAAATCGTTAAAAACATTATCTTAATTGTAAAATAATAAACCTACAATATAAACATGTATACACCTTAAAATCGTACATTGTACGCCAAAATCGTAAGAGTAAACAGGTCTGGGCTAGTAGTAGTGAATAGGTTATTAGCTTCAAATTACTTTTATTTATATATATTTTTTTAATATAAAAAAACATCTAGAAATTTTTACTTGAATATCCACATTTTTTTCATTCCACTTCGGGTTGTAAGTGCCAACACGACTGCTCAGTGTAGTTGTTATTCGATATCTGGATAAACAAGACAAATAATAATTAGAGTGAATGAAAGGACAGCCAGGCTATTGTCAATTTTTTTCAATGAAACATGTTTTAAAGTCATATGAGGGTATCAATGAAATTTTGATGAATGCGTGTTCAATGAATGTTTTTTTGATGAATGCAGGTTAAATGAATGTTTGTTTGATGAATGTAAATTGAATGAATGTATGTTCAATGGATGATATTTCATTGCCAAAATTATTAACTTTAAGTTACCTCATAAAGCCAACTTTCCCAGAACCACAGTTTTGAAAACTCCAGCAATAATTAATTTGTACATTTTATTTTGCGTCCCTTCATTTTCTCAACAAATTCATGCTTATACGTAATTTGATAAATTCTAGAACAGAAACATGGCCACACAAAAAAATGCTACAGTGCACTCTTAACAATGTTCAGTCCTTTTCACAGTTAACTTTTAATTCCAATCAAAGACAATAAATGTTTTCAGTTACTTTTGTCCTATAGTCTTTTTTATGTTGCCTATATCTTTTATTAATTTCAGTACAGATTTTTATCTAAGAGCATTGAATCAAATTTGAGACTGTGCAAATCAAAGTCCGAGAGGAGATATATTTTTTTAACAATCTGTTGCAAAACCTATGACATTTTATCATCATGCACAGCACCCAATTACCTTTGCTCCCCATCTGTTTGATTTATACCATTATCAATAGCATCAATTTCCTCCACAAAGTTTTCATACAGCTTGTCATAGACTGTCTGTGTGACACGGTCATCCACCGACAAGCCCAACTTTGTGGCAACTATTTCTGCACCAAAATGGTAGTACACCAGCCCAGCACTTGACAGCTTTGTCACCCATTTCTTCTCTGGATTTAAACTGTGCATGCATTCTGTAAAACTCCTGGTGAAGATGTTGGGGTCATAAGTAAAAAAGTAATATATTTCTGCCCTAAAGATATAATATCTTAGTTCTTTTACAAACTTCTTCATCCAATACCACTTTCTAACGCCTAAGCTGTTACAAAATTTTTTTAAATATCTTGAAATAGGAAAAACCATCACATTGTATATAATATATCTATTCAATAAGTGACTTTTTATAACTTAATTCAGAATGTTTATATAATATTTTCTAACAATTATTAACGTTAATTTTAAATGAATGAGTGAATTATCAATTCCAGGCTAATATGTCAACTGTGGTACAACAGTATTTTTGATCATGAGATCTTCTAAGCAGAAAATACGTTTTTAAACTGAAAAATATTGAATATTTTGGACTGAATAATATTGAATAACATACAGCCATGCATGCGAAAAGTAGGTATTTCGAAGGGTAATATACAATATAGTATAAATATTTTAAGTGAGGACGCCATAATAAAAGTATGAGACCTACCGCTGATGGTGATCATATCTATGCTTGCTAGGGTCATAAACACCTCCAACATCAACCACAATGTCACATGTGTCCAGTACTGCTTGGTCCCGAGTTCTGAGAATGAATAGAAGTTTAAAAGTGTTATGCTTTAGATTTTTAAAAAATTAAGTTAATAATAAATAATTTATTACGATAAGCTTTTACATCAGCCTCAGATGATAATATAAAACTAGATAACCTAAGAAATATGAGCCAGTTTACTTATTTAAATTGGTTTGATTAGGCACCAACCTAATTATTTCAGCATCTTTGTATTCTTCGAGCTGTCTCAACATAAAACATGCTAGGACTTCATCACAGTGAAATGTTCCATTGTGGGTTCCTATCTTCTTTTGTAAATGTTGCTGCTTTACAGGTGGTTCAGAAGTCTCACTCATTTTACAAGTAAACAAACTGAGTCTTTTAGTAAAGGAGGTTACACAGATCACTTGCAACTTTTTAAATGACAAACATCTGCAGAAGAGAATTATAAATTTAAAAAAAAAATGTTTAATCAAATGTTTTGAAAAAAAAGATACATTTTTCTAATACCCAGTAAAATACCCAGAGAATATATATATATTTTGTAGAATTTTTGTGGATACAAAAATTTAATAAATTGACATCTTCTATGAAATTTGGCAACATTCCCTTTTGATAAAATTTATAAAAATTAATTTAACATAATAATGAACTGAGAATCTAAATGTCTGTTGGCCTATTGGCTTTAGTAATATTTTAATTTTATGATATTCATGAATGCATGTTTTTATTTTTAAAAGATCATTAGGTGACAGTTTTTTTTAGACAGTTGTCAACTTAGTGATCTTATTTAATTTTCTAGGACAGGGATTCTTAAACATTTTAGTAGCTCTGTATTCCCTCTCAATTTCAAAATATTTTCTGCAAACACACATAAATTATATTGTAATAAATTACTAGTAATGCGCAAGAACAAAATACACCAGAAAAACATTTACTGCTGTAAATCAAAATGCTTGGAAACTGATTTTGTGTTAAAGGCAGCAACAACTTGCAATGGCAGCAAATACAATTTTCTGGGTCTTCCACACCTTAGGGGGGTGGTTTCACCCCAGCTTAGAAACCACTGCCTTAGGGGAAATGGAGGAAAATTATTCAAGGGTTTGTAAAGAGCAGAAAGGGATAGCGTAGGGTGACCAAATCATGAACTGGAAAAAACTGGACACACCCAAGGAAGGTTGTTTGGGTGGGGGATACTCTTCAGCTAAAGAGGGGTCCATGGGCCTCCACAAGAAACTGTTTATTGAAATATGCTCATTTTAACTATTTTGAGACATAGAAATCTTTTTAAATTTACCTTCATGTTTGTAATTTAATTTAAACTCTGAGGCATATCATAAACGAAAACAATAATTTTGCAGCGTCGGCAGAGTGGGGTAGGGGGAACAGTGCAGCCATCATGCGAGCCCACATCATTACTGGAACTGGCTACACAGCTAGCCAAAATAGTACTTGACGTTATATTATAAATTAGGAAGATTTAGTGATTTAAAAATGTGTTTGGTTTTAGAAACGGGACTTTTAGGCGTCCCGAGAAACTTTTTTGGGACACCGGATACAATCGTGAAAAAACGGGACAATCCCGTAATTACGGGACATTTGGTCACCCTAGGATAGAGGGATTTTTTTATAGGTGTAGGGGTGGGTGCTTAGTTTGTGACATTATATTTGAGGAGGGTCTACCTTTCTGTGATGATTTGTGATGATGGGGGAGGGTAAAAAATAGACAAAATTTGCGTGACGTCATTTAAGGATAGCTCCTTATACCGCTACATTTAAGTTTAGTATTTAGGCTACATCCTCGCACCCCTTCATAAACTTTGATAGGCTATGACTACGACCATGCCATTTTCATTTCAAATAGTATTTTGCATATGGTACCATATTTAAAAATTTAATTATTAGATTAAAAGAAGTTGGGTAAGCCTTGGATCATGATATACTGTATGATTAAATGTAGACCTTACATCTTTATGATGAGTATCATTCAAATAATAATGATCAATAAGCCCATGTGATTTTTTAAACCACCTAAAACTGACAACCTAAACCAAAGCAAACTTTAAATCATAGAGTAGTAATAACTAAATTGATTTTGAGGTTGAGCATGTAGGCTTAGCAATTCTAAAATGTAGCTGCAGCCAAAAAAAAAAAAAAAAAGAAAAAGAAATATTATGTAGCATCTGAAGTGCAATAAAAATAATTCCCACCACACTCAAAGAATGTAGTAGATTATGATGTATGTGCCAGTGGGTGGAGAGTGGAATATATGATTAATACGAAGTAAAGGAGGTAAATCATAATAGTAATTTATTAAGTTGGCCTAAGCCTAAATACATTTGCCCTAGCCTATAATAATAATATTGTAATTAATTAAAAGGCCTTTAGTCAAGTTTAGTTGGCAGTATCAGTAGGAGTAACACAGGCTGAGGCCCTATCAAATTTATCAATGATATTAACATACTGAAACTTAATATTTGTAAACATGTTTAAATATGCCTAAACGGCCTACTAAGCCTAATTCTAGAAGCTTAAAACTAAATAATAATGGTTTAGGGCTAAGTACTAAGTCTAATACTAACATGGTAATCTATGACTTCAGTGTCGGCTATTCAATTATCATGTTTTTCGGGTCAGAAGTGCTATTTTACCTCTTATTCTTTTACTAAATAATAATGGTTTAGGGCTAAGTACTAAGTCTAATACTAACATGGTAATCTATGACTTCAGTGTCGGCTATTCAATTATCATGTTTTTCGGGTCAGAAGTGCTATTTTACCTCTTATTCTTTATTTATTTGATCAGATAAAATTATTTTAATGATCCAATTAATGGAATTTTTTTTTTTTATTTGTACATATGCAATTATGCATTTCAGCACATCCTCATAGTGACTCATACATAATACTCCAAGAAAATATTTTAAAAATAGAAAAATGTAACAAGTCAATGTATCATCTGTATGAAGAGAATATTAATATGTAAGGAAACAGAGGTTAAGTTTATGCATAGATTATAGTATACTTTAGTTCTCCCTCAGCCCCAAGATAAAAACAATAAGTTACTAAAACATATCTCCACGAAAACAAACTGCCGAGCATGAACTTGTGAAAATATGAAGAGAATGGAGTGCATCTTGTGCCAAACTGTCTTTTCCGTTTATGCTTCGCACGCATCCACATAGTTAATTTACAATCCATGTGTGGACACCAGTGAAAGTATCATTTAGAAGTTTAGTTGATGGACTACAATAATCAAAGTCTAAGTCAAGTGTTCCTACAAATGCTATATTCTGTGATTTATGTTTGCATGATAAGTCCATTGGTCCATCTGTGACTGGTAGAAAATGTTGTTCGTCCGTCGAAGTCGACAATGACCATCGAATCATCCGGTTAGGGGCGGGCGGGGGGGTTGGGATTACGGTGAGCTCTTAGGTGGCTTGTTAGACCGATCCTTGCTCGGAATAATCTATGACACCGTGGGCATGGAATAGTTGCTTCAGACGATGACCTAATGTTGCTCTTTCGGACAAGCCTGCGTGTCTCAGCTGTGGTTATTCTCTTAGCTTCATGGGATTTAGCCCCCTTCTTGACAG